GTGCGGTTCCCGGTTGCCGTGAGCTTGCGGTGGGCGGACGGGAACAGACAGCATGTTCCGAGCGGCAGCCCCTGGGCAGCTGCGGCGGGCGGTGAGTCCACACGGGAGGGCCGGAGCCGGCGACTCTCCCACCGACCTCTGTCGTCCCAGTGCGAGCCTTGGCGAAGGTCACGGGCTCCGACAGGCCCGACTGGCCTGCACGCCATCAGGCGCAGGTTGACCTGGAGCTTGGCATCCGGGCATCGAGGTTTGGGGACCGGGGCTGACCACCCCGACTTCTTGTGGCCTGCTAGCTCGGGTAGAGGTCAGGGGTCAGGGTGACCCCGAGTTTAGAACGTGTGCTCTAGTTGCCCCTGCTCCTTCTGCCCCGCCCTCTCCTCAGCCCGTTTCCCTCCCATCCCCCAGCTTCTCTGTCGGTTCTGCCCGGTGTCCCTGGTGCCCCAAGCTTGGCAGGGAGCGGGCAGCCATGTCCCTTGGTAGTCTTTACCCGAGGGAACGAGTGTCGCCGCGGGGAGGCCCTCCTGGGAGTGTTTAAAACCTGGACGCTGCCCGGGTGTGGTATTTGGGAAGAATTTAACTTCTCCACTTGGAGCACCTTGCCTGCTCCGAGCCACTCCTCGCCCGGTGCAGGGGAGGGTGTGGACACCTGCTGCGGTTGAGGGGGTGCGGAGGGACCGACGACTATGACCGTAGGTGGTTGTTTGTGCAAAGCCTTTATTATTCCAGTTTGAGGGCTTGCGTCAGTTTTCACTGGGACCAGCCCTTTTATATTGCAGGCTGACCCGCGCTTCAATGCCAGGGAACCTGGCAGTGGTAGGTTTTGGGTGCTTTGAAGAGTGACCAATTAGGAGTTTCTCACATTCCTCACAAAGGGCTGTTGAAAACAATATTTTTGTCCTTATGCAATGACAGCACAGTAACAATTATATTGTGGATTTTATAATTCTAGATTAGATGACAAACACGATGGCTTAACTTGATCTAGAAATCTACTTGCTTTTCTTTTGAATGTTAAGAGCAACATACTTTCCTGTCCACTTCTGGGACTTTCTCCCTGAGACAAAGCTAGTGACGTTTCTGGGTGCCTTGTACCTTGTTCCAGAAAAAGACCCCCAGCTCTCCTTCTAAAAGGTTCAAGTCGTTTGCCTTTCTTTTTGTCCAAAAGATTTTTTCCCCCCGTCCTGGACTCTAGACATAAATAAGCCAAAGTCATGGATTTGGGAATATTCCAGGGATCAGAGCCAGACACTCGGGAGAATAGTTAGCTAAGCAGTAAGTGGAAGGTGGATTTGTACACTGATCAGAAGTCTGGCATATGTAAAATGGTTATTTTGGTGGAGGGGACTCAAATCTTGTAGAGTTAGCAGAATAAGTAGAATATAAGTAGAATAGTTTATGT